ACTACTACTACTACTAATACTAATACTACGAGAACTACGACTACTACTTCGGCTAAAATCATTACTACTACTTCTACTAAGACTACTACTAGTACTACGACTACAACTACTACTACTACGACTACTACTACTACTACTACTACCACCACTAGTACTACTACTACTACTACTACTACTACTACTACTACTACTACGACTACTACTACTACTACTACTACTACTAATAATAATAATAATTATTATTATACTACTATCACGATCACTACTACTACCACTACTACTGCTACTACTACTACTACTACTACTACTACTACTACTATTGCTACTACCACTACTACTGCGGTCTGTAATACTCTACTACTGCTACTCTACTACCACTACGACGACTAATTCTACTACTACTACTACTACGACGACTACTACTACTACTACTACTACTACTACTACTACTCACACGACTTACTACTACTTACTACTTACTACTACTACTACTACTATATGACTGACTACTACTACTACTACTTACTACTACACGACACTTACTACTTACATACTACTACTAGACTACTACTACTACTAATACTAATAATAATGATAATACTACTATCACGATCACTACTACTACCACTACTACTGCTACTACTACTACTACTACTACTACTACTACTACTACTACTACTACTACTACTACCACTACTACTGCGGTCTGTCATACTCTACTACTACTACTCTACTACCACTACGACGACTAATTCTACTACTACTACTACGACGACTACTACTACTACTACTACTACTACTACTACTACTACTACTACTACTACTACTACTACTACTCCTAATTCTACTACTACTACTACTACTACTACTACTACTACTACTACTACTACTACTACTACTACTACTACTACTAGTACTACTACTATTACTACTATTATTACTACTACTAGTACTACTACTACTACTACTACTTCTACTACTACTACTACTACTACTACTACTACTACTACTACTACTGCTACTACTACTACTACCACTGTTACTGCTACTACTACCACAACGAGTACTGCTACCCCTCACACTACCACGATTACTATTACCGCTGCTACTACTACCACCACTACTACTACTACTACTACTACTACTACTACCACTACTACTACGAGTACTACTACCACCACTACTACTACTACTACTACTAATAATAATAATACTACTACTACCACTACTACTACTACTACTACTAGTACTACACTGCTACTACTACTACTACTACTACTACTACTACTACTACCACCACTGCTACTACTACTACTACGGCTACTCATACTACTACGACTACTACGACTACTACTACTACTACTACTACTACTACTACTACTACTACGACGACTACCACCACTACTACTACTAATACTACTACTACGACTGCAAATACTACGACTAATACGACTACTACTACTACTACTACTACTACTACTACTACTGCTGCTGCTGCTACTACTACTACTACTACTACAGGTACGAGAATCACTACAACGACTACATGTACTAGTGTTAGTATTACTCCTACTTCTACTACCACGACTACTACTACCACCACCATCAACATTGCTGCGACTACTACTACTACCACTTCTACGAGTACTCCTGCTACTACTACTACACATGCTACTACAACGACTACTACTGCTACTACTACAAATGCTCAACAAATGCTACAACTACTGCTACTACTACTATCAATACTACTACTACTATTACTACGACTACTACTACTACTACTACTACTACTACTACTAATACTACTCTACTACTACTACTACTACTAACTAACTACTCTACTACTACTACTACTACTACTTACGACTACTACTACTCCCTACGACTACTATTACTACATGGAACTATATCACTACGACACTACTCCTACTACTACACTACTTACTACTACGTACTACTACTACTACTACTACGACTACTACTACTACACTCTACCAATAACTACTACTACTACTACCTACTACTACTACTACTGAACTCCTGCCTACTACTACACTACTAACTACTACTACTACTACTACTACTACCACTACTACTACTACTACTAGTACTACTACTACTACTACTACTACTACTACTACCACTACTACTACTACCACTACTACTACCACTACTACTACGACTACTACTACTACTACTACTACGACTACTGCCACTACCACTACCACTACTACTACTACTACTACTACTACTACTACTACTACGACGACGACGACGACTACCACTACTATTACTGCTAATACTGCGAATACTTCTACTACGGCTATTCCTACTACCACCACTACTAGTACTACTACTACTACTACCACCACTACTACTACTACTACTACTACTACGACGACGACAACTACTACTATGCATGCTGCCACCACTGCTACTACTACCACGGCTCCTACTACTACTACTACTACTACTACTACTACCACGACGACGACTCTTATTATTACTACTACTACTACTACTACTACTACAACTGCTACTACCTACGAATACACTACTACTTTACTATGCTCCACTACTACTACTACTACTCTACTACTACTACCATACTACCACTACTAACAAACTAACAACTACCTACCGACCTCCTCGTCTACTACAACTACTACACTGCTACTACTACTACTACCACTACTACGACTACTAACTACCTACTCTACTACTACTACTACTACTAGACCTACGACTACTACTACTACTACTACTACTACTACTACTACTACTACTACTACTACGACCTGCTACTTACTAAACGACTAACTACTACTACTCTACTACTAACTACTACTACTACTACTACTACTACTCCTACTACTAACCACCACTACTACTACTACTACTACTATTACTACTACTACTCCTACTACTACTACTACTACTACTACTACTACTACTACCGACCTATCGACCTACCTACCTACCGATCTACCTACCTACCGACCTACCGACCTACCTTTATACCTGCCGACAGACCTACCGCACTACCGAACTACCCACATACTTACCTACATGCCTACCTACCGACCGATCTACCTAGAACTACTGCGACTACGATTACTACTACAATTATTTTTACTACTACTAATACTACTACGAATACCACTACTACTACTACTACTACTACTACTACTACTACTACTACTACTACTACTACTACTACGACTAC